TGGCAGCGAATAATGGCTTTGTTTTATCTTTGTAACATTTATTTAATTTTATAACGAAAATATATTTTTTTATAAACTACTAAAATATTTATCATTATAAATAAGTAAGATCATAAACATCGCATATAAAGCAGACACGTCTTATATTTTATATGCAAGTAGAGAATTTAAATTGTTTATATCAAAATGTATTAGAATAATAAATACAATTTTATAATTGTTACATTGTTAAAGTGAAGATATATCCTGAAAAATATATAACCTCTTTGGTCATAGTAGATTAAAATCTATGAAAATATCTTAAATAGAGATGGATAAAATTAGAAAGGGAATTTTATTTTTAAGGGAAATGTTTAGTTATGAATTCAGTACCATTTTTACATTACTAAAGCCTAAAATCTGTTGGAAATCTTCATTAATACAGTAGAACCTCGATTATCCGGACTAATTGGGGATGAAGGTAGTCCGGATAAGGAAAAATCCGGATAATCGAAACAAATACTTTAATTTGTCTTTTAATGATAATACAACACGTTTTCTTTTCGATGACATATCGGTAATATTAAAAGTAAATACTGTATTTAAATCGTGATCAAATTTTCAAGAAACAAACGTTCGTATTGAATTTGGACTACTACTGACCAACGCTAACAGACTACCTATTGTTTAAAAGGCCCTCTGGTGGCGCAAGAAGACGGATTTTATAAAATAAAAAGCAGTTGAAACTGCATTTTTATGAATAAAAATTTGACAAACTATTTATCGTTTTATGACGAGTAAAATTTTTTCGTCGCGTTCGCGGCTTTTAAGTAATGCATAAACCTTCGAGGCGCGAGGCCCTTCGGACCGCGAGGCATAGGCGGTGGCCCACGTCGTCCATGCCTTACGCCGCCCTTGGTCATAGAAATGATGTAATTTGAATATAAATTATTTATAAATACGTATGTCAAGTTATATTTTTATTACTACGTAAAATATATTTAAGAGTTTACGACCACTGTGCTGGGTGAGACATTGTTGAAACAAAAAAGTTATGCATTCCATCACGTACATAAACAGTGTCGTAATTCGCCAAGTGCAAATCAGCAAATTCGTAAAATTTTTGTTTATTTTGAACAATCCGGATAATCGAAAATCCGGATAATGGAGGTTCTACTGTACTTATAAATAATGAAATTTTATTCCTCAATGAATCCGGAACTGTATAATGGTTTTGGTAGTTTAAAAATGTCATATATTCTTTATAATTTTATAACAAAATTATTTAAATGCATTTTAATTAGAATAAAGTATCGGGTAGTCAAAAGTAATGCCTGCCGATCTTGAAATTTTTAGATTATGTATACATCATCTGAAAATACTGGTTATAATGGCTCTATAAAACTTAATACTGGTTATAATGGTTATATAAAACTTGAAACGAATACAAAATTATTAGATTATATTTGTACTACAAATATACTTTAATAACGATAATTAGCGTAATCATTTTTTAATCGATTATTGTTATTTTACTTGAGGGCTTCCAAAGTTCACTTGAGGGCTACCAAACGACCACAAGCTTAAAGCCTTCAATTCACACGGAATTGCAGGCTTTAAGCTTGCGGTCCTTTGGAAGCCCTAGGTATGTATGAAAGTATGTTAGTACTAAGCCCGCTTAGTACTAATATACCTCTATAACTGCAAGTACAGTACATTAGGTTAAACGTCGATATAGTGCCACCTTCGTGAATCTATCTACTCATAACTATTAATTAAATAATAATTTCTTTCGTTATCTCTGAATTACCAAATGAAGAATTTTGCATTGCAAAGGACATTATCACCAAATCATGTAACTTCCAAACTTTCAAACCTCAAACTTGTGTTTAGATTTCTCATTACTTTAAGTAATTTTTATTGTGTGAGGTTCTTCGGTTTAGTGCCATATTCGATTTAGTGCCAATTTCAAAGGCTAACAGATATCGAAATTTGACTGTACTAAATGATAAATGCTAATGATATGGAAACTAGTAATATATAGTGTATTCTCACCTTTTCACTAGTTAAGTTTAGTTTTAATGTTTTCACGAATATCAGTTTTAATTCCGTAACGTTGCGTAACGGCACGAGGCAGAAAATAGGAGAATAAAATTATATTGTCAAAGCTTCGGGGCCGCATGTCAGAACCTCGCGGGCCGCGGATTACTTATGATCGCACTTGATCTATTTGACGTCACTAAAAGTAAACCTTCTTGATACAAAAACAAACAAGTTAATGTGCCATATTGACAAGTGAGTTTTATACTCTAATGTTCGACTGTATAACTACAAAAATAATCCTACGAATTTCACTTCAAGCTGATTTAAGAAGTGTTAAATAAGATTTCTAATTAAGATTTTATAGTTGACTATTTAACGATAATTTAAAAATAATTTAAACTAATTATAATTATTAACGAATTATTAGTAGACTACAAAATATAATTGCAATCTTAATTTATATTTTTATTTAGCCTATATTATATCATTTAAACATATTGACATACAGCGGATTATTTGAAAATAAATTAATTACAAATCAGTGTTGATGTTTAACCGTCAAAACTATTTAATCGTGAAGTTGTTATTAATGCAATAGTTTATATTATATAATTACAAATTGTTTAATAATATTTAAAATTAATATGTTAATCGTAATAATGTTAAAATGAGTATTTCAAAATTATTATAGGATTATGATAAATGTATTCAAAATATATTTGGTTTAAAGTGTATTCTTCCCATAGTAAATTGTAATAATAATTAACACAATTGAATTAATTTCGTAAGACATTTAAATATTTTAATTACACTACATTCTCTTTTATGATAAAAATTTATAGTAATGTATTTAATATAATATTAGAACAATTGATTTTTTAAATTTTAAATACATGTAGAATAGAATTTTCGTTATAAATTTGACATAAACTTGTCTAAATTATTTAATAAATAATAAAATTAATTGAAAATAAAATTTATATTTATTAGAGATTGAATTAAATTAAATTAACTCGGCTTTAGTTTATAAAAGATGTGTTTTAGATTTAACTCAATTTTTTTTTCTTATGAAAAAACATTAAAATAAAGTTTATAATTCATTTAAAGGGTAATACAGGAAATTTTTCTTTAAACAAATATTAATTTTTGTTTATTATTGATCTTGAAAAAATAATAACAATAATAGTTTAAATTGTTAACAGTTAAATAGTTTAAATTATAAATTGTTTATTTTTATTTTAAACATATATTAAGTTTTATTTATAGCTTCAAATAATAATAATATTTCCTTTGTATATATAACAATTTAAATTGCAGAGTTTTAGATAAATTACATTATGAATAAATAATTTAAATTGCGTAAATATTTTATTATTTAGTTAAAACAAAAACAAAAATTACTAAATAGAACAAATTATTTTGTGTCTTGAAGCATAAAATAAATGTTATAAATATTTTCATATGTTTTAGAAATTAAATTAATATTAAAATAAATTCAAATCGGTATAATTTTCCAAAAATTATATAAATTTAAAATTTCAATGTTTTGTTTATTAAACTGACGTTTTGAAATTTGAGGTTACATAATTTCTTGACTTGTTAATTGGAATGTATTCATCATAATTAATTATCATTTCAGAAACTTATTATCAATATTAATTGTACTAACTTGATCGCATTTTATCTTCGAAGTTGTTTCAATAAATATATAATTAGAATAGAAAATTTACTTTATTCTGTGTTTAAGGATTACGTTAGGGATTTAAGTTGGCTTTAACTAATTATTTAAATGAAAATAGTTAATTTACAATTAAAATTTCTTCGCGTGGTCTACTTAATTTTGATCGAAATGGTTAATTAGCAATCGAATTTCATTCTAACATTTTAACATTTGATCATTGTGTGCAATCGTGTTTACTTTTAAGAGTGTTAAATATTAAAAAAATTATATTTAGAAGATAATTAGCTAGTTTAATCGGGCATCTTTTATGATGGATGGGCATTGTTTATAACGACGAAGATCATATTTCTCTTCCTTTTAGGAGATAAAATATATACAATATATTATCTAATTTATGTCGAAATAATTACTGTTAAATAAAAAAAAATATGCGTAATTATATATTATTAGAAACTTAATATTATCTTTTTAAAATCAATCTTGAAAATTAAACATTTTTTAAAATAGATTTTTATTTATTTTAATGAGCTGTAAATTGTTATCACTCTTATTCAATTAATTCGTATCTAATAGAATTCATTTGAAGGCTAGTATATTATTTACATATGGAATGTATGTTTATATATGCTTGGCATTCTAGAAAAATTTGAATTCTGAGCACATACGACCGATTTATGTAGGGTTATATTAAACCCTTAAGAAAAAAAGAAATGTAAGCATACGGTCGTCTTCACTTGACATTTTGAAAACATAAATAATGCAGGGGAACATTTCTCTTAAAATCACGTTTCGTTGCCTATAAAAATACAAAGAGACAATCGTATTTTTTCAGTAAAGTGTTTTATATTCTTAAAAGTCGTCTTTCCCCTTAAGTCATACAGCATATTAAATAGAATATAGAAACTTTTAAAACACAAAAATATATCTTTTTATGTCTGTTTTATTTCTTTTCATCTATGTATCATGTAAACTAATCTATTGCTATAAATTGTACTACGTTCTTGCATCTTTGATCTTCGTAAATACAATTTACGTTTTTTTTAAAAAAAATAAGATAAAGCGTGAATTTATCGAATGCAAGTATACTTTCTGTATTTTAAATATGGTTATAAGAGTCGCGCCATCAAATCTTATAAGATAAAAACCGTAAATAAAACTATGGTAAAAACTTTCTTAAGTATATTTCTTAGACTGCGAATAAAGCATTTTATCAATAAGCAATAAAAATTCGATTTATATCTTTGGAAATATTTATTTATATATATTTTTATTGTGTATAATTCAGTTTATTGAAAAGAAAAAAAAATTATATATATCTTACAGCGAACGAGTGAGAAATCTTGTCAAGTATTTAAATTTATTTATTTATTTTTTTGGAAAATAAAATTCGTGATCACAAAAATTTATTCCGTACAACATGAAATTATTATAAACCAAAACAGGAAAAAATTAATTTTCCAATGAAATCCGATTAATTCGAATATTAGTTATTATTTTATTTTTGCTTTCAGGAACATTATTTCTTTCGTGGCCCTGTTATTTCCCAATTAGGATTATAAACAGGACGTAGATTATCTTTCCAATATTTTTGTTTACTGGATTTTTTGTCATAATCTTCAGATGGTTTCAATCCGATGATAGCCAATTCTTCATCGGTTTTATAATCGGGTTTCTTAATTTCTTCCAGTTTTCTTTTTAGATGATCGAAAAATTTACTGATATTATTAAGATTTAGAAGACTAAAGTAACGATCGTACTGCATGTCCAAATTAGATGATGATAGATTGTCTCCTTCTTTCAGTTCCAACTGATCCATGTTTCTTTTACCAAGGCCGATGAATTCCCATCCTGGATTATATTTCGGTTTTTCGTTTTTACGCTTTCCCAAACCAATCATGGCTAATCCGGGATTATATCTTGGTCTGGATTTATCGTAATTAGCTCTTTTTATATCCGATTCACTTTCATCTGTATTTTTCCAAAATCGTATCCACTTGTTCGCCAGTTCGTATATCGTTGGTTGATCATCTGTAGACAAAAAGTAATTTTTTTAGCTTAAAAAAAGTTAATTTTTAAAATTTATAAGTTTCTGGAACCGGAATATTGTATATTCTATTTATTACATCAAATTTATTTTGTGTTAGATACAGATAAAATATTGCGCATAAATCGAATAATTTTTGTAAAATTTCTGTAGAATATTAATGAAAAAAATGTAAATTCGAATAAAAAAGTGATAAGATAAATAAATTCTATTTAAAAGATTTATAAAATTATAAATTTATGTATAACCCTAAAAGTATTCCTTTACTAACATTCTCCTGTTTGTAAAACTCCTAAAGTAGACTGGTTAATTAAATATTTATTTCCTGTAGTCTAAGATTAAGCTTTCAGATAACAAACTCATGGGATTTTTACAATATTAAAATAGTTTTCAAAGTATTTCGAAAATCTAAATTCTAACTTAACTTTTGCTTTAGCAGTTAAACTTTTAAATATAAAAAATAAAAAGAAATAAATTTCATTAATTTAGCAAAAATGTAAATATAACAAAATTTCCTTTGATCTATTTTTAAAATTTTATTGATTTTTTTTTATTTTTTATTTCTAAAAACTTTTTTGGTAAAAACGCATTTTACAATTTCATAAGATTTTATATTTAAAATTAATAAAGTTTAGTAATTAATTAATAAATTAATTAACTTTTTTTTGCTTTTTTAAATGCTATAGTTTTTATATTTATTCGAACAAATTTATAACAGAATATATTATATGATATCATGTTCATTTATTCATCATAAATATATATATATATATATTTTTATTAGTTTTCTTACATTTGCAAACACACAAATGATAATATATTCTAGAACATTATAAGAATTATAATAAATCCATTTTATAATCTAATTTTCTACTCTGTTAATCAAATTTGTACACTTTTCTATTTTGCTTTTCTTTATATAGGTCTACTACTTTTAAAATTATTTACAAATTAAAATTAATTTATGTCAAATAAAACTATTTTTAAGGCGTTATTAAATTAATCAAATCCTTCTGCAAATGGATTTTATATTAAACATGGTAGTAAATTAAATTGTTCTTTAAAATCTAATTTATTGAGAATTTCAGAAAAAATAAATTTTTTTTCCTAACATCTAAAAATTAATATAAAAGGCAAAGATTAAAGAGGATCTTATTTTTTCTGTTAAATAGATTAATCCCTTGGCTTCTATAAAAAAGATTTAGAAAGTATTATCAATTTAGTGACCTAAAAAATTAAATTTATTTTCTAAAATTTCTGTTAAAAAGAAGCACGCCTTGTAAATTACATGATAAAATTAATAACAATGAACCTATATTTTAATATAAATATAAATATTTATTAACAGGTAATTATGCTGTTTAGCATACATAAAGATTGTCACCCCCTTGTAATAATGTGCTCCCTTAAATAAATAAATGTCTATTGATTGATTGATTGATTGATTGATTGATTACCAGTAATTATTAACATAAATTATAAATTTATATAAACAGTACTATAATGAAAAAGTATAGATATGTATTTTCTATGATATCAATTTTATCTAATAAATGGCTAAAACTAATATAAAATAAATTTTTAAAAGGGATATAATTTAATAAGACTTTAAAATTTTTGTAATTTATAAATTAAAAAATCATTTTTATTTAATTTTAAATTTTATTACATTGATCATTTAAGGAGTTATAAATGAATATTCATAAATAAAAAATTTAACTTATATTTGATACAGATAAAATACACTTCTGAAAGTGAATACATTACTTTTCTTAAACTGTAATTTATAAGACGATAACACGTATTACAAAATGCTTTATTTCTGTTACCTTTTATCATTCAATAAAAGTTATATTCTATATCGAACCCTCCTACATACGAATGCATGAAAGTTCGACATTAAATAAAGATACATAATTATTTAAACAGTCTCGTTAAATTAATGATGTAGAATAGTTTGTAAAATTCATAATGAAATATTTAAATCTCAAAATAAAAAAAAAGCCTTACAAAGTATCCAACAGTACATAAACAAAGAGAAACGACAAGGAAACTTTACATAATTATAGGAAATTTCTGTTTAAAATTAAATTTATAAGTTATATTTATAGTTAAAATTATAATTCTTGTTTTCCTCTAATGACAATGAATGAAACAAAAATATTTAACATAAGAATTATAAAATATCCTGTATTTTATATTGTGCAAAAGATTTAATTTTTTCATTTATGCTATATTATAGATTTGTTTTCGTGTAAAACAATTTACTCTGTAATATGAGCCAATAATATTTCTATTTCTATAAAGAAACATAAGAATGGCATATACGTATAGGCTAAATTATTTATTGTTCTGATTGATTGTCTATGAGTTCGACTTTCTATCAAACCACATTTGTTCGGCAGGAAAGCATCCAATTTCTCCAATTTGACTTCACATTCATGAGAAATACTTTGTAAAAATGTTGTTTTATATCAATATATTTCTTAATATTAGTTTAATGTATTCGAAAATAAAATTAAAAAAAATTTTTTTTATGCCTTAATTCCATCATGAATTTATTATCGAATCGTTTGACAGTAGATTTACTAAAGATTACATAAAATAAAATGGGTCTTACGGCTGTCAAAACATTAAAAACATTTAAAATATATAGAAAAAGATATTATTTTTAGAATATAATTATTAACAAATAAAGCAATAAATATTAAGTTACAAATTAAATACAAAATCGAGTTTTAAACTGGAATTTTAATATCTCAATTAATAAAATAATATAAGTAAATGGATATTCTTTTTTTTTACATATTATAAACGTAAATCGTATTAAGAAATATCGTATATGTTATTTTAAGAATAAGTATTTAAACTTTTAATAATTACAATAGCAAAAACGCGCGCCTTACCTTCGACAGTTCTGCAAATACTGACGAAGATCATTAAAATCATTAATGTGACGTATGTCCAATGTTGCTGATCCATTTTTCCTTCAATTGCTGCTTGTACGGTTTTCGTCTTACGTTTATGAAACCGATAAACTTTCTCTATGTCATATATCAACAGTTTCACCGTTTCTCCAATGGAACAACGGTTATCGAATCACGTGACCTACAGCAACTAATCACCTTGGAGTATTTTACAACACTAATTTCTTCTTTAAAACGGCATTTAAAGAAAAATTGAATGTCTAATTTAATTGGATGATGTTTTTCATTTTTTTACAAATTTTACCTATCATTATTTTTGTTTCATTATCATCGAAAAATGAAAAACAAATGAAGATAAATGAATATATCAATTTTTATTCAATTAATAGATTAAAAATGTTTTTAAAAACAGTACACTTATTTAAAATGACTGAAAAACATAAAAAATGGCGAAAGTAAATATTTTTTTAATCGGTTATTTTCCATACAGTAGATTTACTAAACACTACATAAAATAAAATACAGTAATTACTGTTCGATAATTAAACTTAACCCGATTACTTGTTTAATATTTTAATGCGATTTTCTTACGTCACTGAAGTTTTATAATGTAAAATTATGTAATTGAGTTTTGAACGTTTAATTAAGTAATGATTGTATATTATCAATAATTCAACGTTATTTTTATTTCGTTTTCATCGAGAAAATATTTTTATTTAATTATATTACTTTCCAGAATAACAATTTTAATAAAGTATGTTTTATATATATATATTTACAGTGGTGCTTCGTACTTCCTAAAAAGATCGCATAACCCCCCCAAATGACAAGAATTTTTGCCTTTGCAAAAACTCACAGGATGTAACCAAAGAAATCAGATCGGTAGTATAAAAATGCAAGGCACCGACGTATATTTTCGAAAAACGCTTACATAGATACATTTCTGACCGATTAGAGCAGTGATTCTCAAACTTTTTCGATCCACCGCCCCCTTTGTTCCATAAAGTTATACCCAACGCCCCCTAACCCATTTTCTCTTGTGTGAGAAAAGGATTGAAAATATTCTTAGGAAAACTTTTCTATGAATCTCACACTTTGTGCCCTTACTGTACATTGTTCTCATCATCTGGAAACCATTAAACGCAATGTTTCCTCTTATCAGCCCCAATTTTGCCTTTGGTCACCGTTCAATACCCTGCCTCTATCATAGATCTATTCATCGCGCCAGAAGGGGGCGTTATTGCTTACTTTGAGAAACGCTGAGCTAAAATAAAAGTCAATGTGTTAGAAATATTCAAGTTGTGATCTTCAATAAAAAATAAAAAATATATAAAATGTAAACATTTTATATATATTCCGTCGAATTTTTATATATAGAATTTGTCTGCCGTCGCCCCTCTATATTTCCTTAACGCCCCCCAATTCTCTATGAGCCTTCTACTGCCCCCCTGACAGCCTCCAGCGCCCACAAGGGGGCGTTATCGCCCACTTTGAGAAACGCTGGATTAGAGAACAGCATTTATGTGGCACAAGACCCAAGCAAGGAGGTAATAGAGTTAGAAGGCTTCGAATTTAATTCATTCCAGGAGACCGTTCTAACTCTGAAGCGTTCGAAGTACGAGGTATTATTGCATATATGTTTATAAATTATTATATAATATAATTTATATTATGAATACATTATTTAATGAATTTTTTATCCGTATTGTTATTATTTACCCAGCTGTTAAATATAATAGAGGGAAAGTATGACGAGCGGTCAAAAAGTGACCCCCCGCAAGATTTTTACATTTTTGGACTTAGGGGACCTTGAAACGTCAAGAAATGTAAAAGATTTCGGTTTTTTTTTCTATATATATGTATGTTGTGTGTGTGGGGGGCACGATTTTGTTTACCCTGTTTGAAACTTAATAATTCCTGTGTTTTTTGTCGAAAATTTCTGAAATTTTGCAGGGAGGTTTGTTTATTAGGGGGATTGGTGCTATTAAATTTTTATGGTTAAAGGTCGAGGGGTGAGGAGATAATGGGTGTCGTGTGTATCTCTAGTAGGGTTGAACTTAATGACGATTTTACTCGTTATTAGCATTTACAATTTTTTTATAAAACTACCCTGAAAATGAAGCATTTTGTCATTTTATAATAGTTAAAAATATAAACATTTTAAAAATAAAATACGATAACAGATGGAGCCATCAAATATTGCCTGGAAAGTTAAGCAACTTTTGCTAGTTTATATATATATATATATATATATAGGCTATATATATTAATAAGAACAGTAACAATATGGATCAGAAATTCATAAAAATATTATAATAGAAGATTTATTACAATAAAATATTAATTATATTCTCTTAAATATCTAGGTATAAAAAGAAAATTGATCAATAATTATATTAAAGCAAGGTAGGTTGTTCTAAGATATTTTTTATGTTAAGAAATTTAATATCAATGTTTTGAAATTGGTTAGTCTAAGGTATATTGTTACAAAATATATTGCTTTCTCTTTTTATTTATTTTTTTAAAAACTATAACAAAAGAATGAATGCAATATAGACTTGTATGCTCCATAATTCAAATAACAAACAACACTAAATAAATTTAAATATTAAAATCGTATGTCGTTTTATACATAATGCTTATACTGATTTGAAATTTTAAAACTAAAAGCAAAGATGGTGCCCCACAGAAAAAAGTTTGATAATATTATTTTATCTAGCTAGACACGAAAATAAGAATCGGATTAGTGTTTCTTATTCTCTTTCCTTTAAAGAAAAAAAATTGTTTACTCTTTGGTTTATAAACGTGCTTATAATATCAATTTTTGAACTCGATTGTTGTTGTCAATTGTCACAAAATCTTGTAGAAATTCTGAAAGCATCTAATAATCACATCTAAAATAAGTTATCTCTGCAATTATTTGTTTCTAGTACATAGAAATAATTAATGATATAATAGATTAATCATATATAAAAATATACTAATTATACTAAAAACAAAATTTTATTCTATAATAAAACAGATAAATTACANTAAGATAATTAATTCTCATTTAATTTCAAAAAAAAAAGTTTGATAAACAGAAATTTTTGTTTATGACATTTAAAATCATACGATCAATAACGGTTCCAATTAAAAAGTAAAATTTATGTGATAATATATTATAATTGTTATACATTTAAGTCCCGTGAGTAATGAAATTCTAAATATAAAATAATGACCACGGAAAGTTTAGCTGTTTTCTGAAAAATAATCATTATTCCTTGAACACAAGCAGAACTTTTACTAATAATTGTTATGAAAAACAATTAATTTTTTTTAAATTACACATCGCAATTTATATAAAAGTAATAAACGATTTTTATTATGCTACTTTAAACATGAACAAAAACTGGTCTTTATAAAATTTGCTGGTTTCTAGTATTTTAAATTTATATATTCGACATAATTGCGAAATATAAAATGAGATAAACTAAATAATTTATAGCAAATTTATAAGAGAAATACATTGTTAAATTGTTAAATCCGATCACTGAATGAGAACAGTACGACTCTTCGCGTAATTTAAGGCACTAAACTTCAGACCTCTTCCAGACGGGCTTTTTATTTACTTCCCGGTCTGTGGACATTATGAGGGCCTTTTAATCATACCCATCGTGGGTTCGGCCAGGCCCACAATGAGGCGGGTTACGTCCGGCATAGCCAGGACAGACCACTTCTGAAAAATCCTGCAGTTTTTCGACCGTCCAGATTCGTATTCCTGGTCCTACAGAGAGGTATACTTTAACCATCTCAGCATCTGGCCTTCTTTAAATGGCTGTTAGGGGAGGCATCTGTGGCAATATGTGGATCTCTGTCATTGAGTGAAGCTTTTCACATGGACTACCAAGTAATGCCATTTAGTGGCGCATCCGAATCGCTAATACATGCGACCGAGGGACATGACCGAGTAGTACACCTTAGCGATATGCCTACGAAAAATTGAGACTTGTATAAGTTTGGAAGTTAAGGCATATTTGGAATCTTTAAAATGATAAATTTGAGAACGTGCTAGCATGAATTGTTGCTCAGATTCCGTGCATTTAAATTTATGTTGTATTGACAACACTATTTTAAACGATAGCAAAATGGAACAGTAAGACAAAGGAGAATTGTAATTGGCGAATTACATAAACAACATGAGAAAAGGAAGAGAAATTTCACAGTTAAGCATTTTATGGATATACGAATGGCAAGGACGACAGTTTACATCATCATAAAGAAACACTGAAAGTGGCAAGACTATTGCTGAAGTGGGAAAAAGAGAATTAAAATAAACAGCGAAAAGGAGTCTTTGGAAAGAAATGCAATCGGAAAAGTTGGACAGTTGCTAGCAAAACTTGGAAGAAAGTTCGAAATATTTCATCAGTATGTCAAAACATACTATCGAGCAAAATGTACTTCGGAAGCGAAAGTCAGCCCCAAAATAAAAAAGAAAACTCGAATTACTAACGACTCTGCTGAAAAATGTGTAAGAAGTGGTTCAGTGTATTCGAAGCCTTAAAATCTCAAGGCTTCAAATGGACTTGACGCTGTTAAGAATAAAGACGTTTGTGGTCGTATTTTACCTTTCATAGAAGTGACTGCGCTGGGAACATCACGTAGACTATTATTGTTAAGGATGGGATTGAGGTTGATCTACAGATAAAAATTTAAACACCATGCAAAATTTCCTCAAAAAGTATCTTGTAGTAATAAATCCGAACGGAAGATCTAAAACATTCATAAAACCTCTCTCCTCTGCATCAATATTAAATGTACGTAAAGGAATGAATTAAGAAGACGCCGATTCCATTTCTCAAGAACCACTCAGATGGCCTTTATGTTTCTTTTGTCCAGACTTCGCAACAGCGTGTAATGCAACAGATACAGTTTCTGTTCTAGAGGAATAGAGTACGTTACATCAGCAAAGAGAACAGCATTGCAGATGTTCCTCAGCTGCTACCAATTGAACGATTCTGGTAACAGCTGAAACAAAAGGTGTGTAAAATAGGTGGTGTACCAAAAATAAAGCGGAACTGAAACAACGCATCAAGTCCAAACTTTGCCAAATTAATTCAGAACACTTTCGAATTGTGATGACAGCTTCAAGACTGAAGTTTAGTTCACACTGAGCGTGATTCCATGGTGAAAGCGAAAAACAGAGCGAAACACAGTGTTTTGTTAAAAAAAATTAACATTACAGTAAAACCTCTATTTAACGCACTATTTCGAGCAATGCGGTATTCGTTAAAGCTGAAAGTCCATTATATAATAAAGTAAGTTTTCCGGATACGTGTATTATCTGTTAATTTAATTACACGTAAAAAGAATTTTAAAGATAACAGGGTGTTAATTTTCACGTATCACATACGGGCTGGAAATATTGTTCGTTAAATCGAGGTTTTATTGTACTATCAATTTGTTGAACTGACACTGGCTGTAATTAGTCAACAATATTGATTATAAGAGTAATCTAATATATCTAATATATATAAATTAATTTCGTTTTCCTTTCTGTGAGATAGCTGTCACAATCGAAATTATCTCCCATTTCCGGGATCTCTAAAGGAATAAGAAATAACTGTTATCTGATATCGGAGATCGGATAAAAAGCATAAAATTACAGTTATTTTTACGAAATCAAGTAAAAATACAATAATCTATACTCCGTATCATACTAGAAATATAATTACTCGTATGAAATTTCTGGATGGTTCAGTTGACTGAATCTTTGAGTAATAGGCTTACAGAAGGGGAGGGTTTTCGCTCCGTATATAAGTATTTGTTTTCTTTTTTTAAAAAATAAAATGTTATTCTGTAATAAGTCATATTTTTGTAATATTGTATATCCAAAATAGAACGTAGAAAATTCTGAAAGAAAAAAATTGACCGAAATCTAGACTCGAACCCCCTCTTTCTGGGTAGTGATTAGTCCAGATTACAGTGTCTGTATAATAACGCTGCAGTTCTTATAATAGCTTTTCTGTAAAATGTCTAATTCTACCCAAACATTTCACATCAATGTATTTAGTTGAGGTTCGGTTTACAATATAATTGATTGAATAAACAGAAAAAAAAATAATATTCTAATCAAACATTGGGTAAAAGTTTAATTTAGATTTTAAAAAATTGTATATTTAAGAAACAAAATACTAATTATTTATATCATATCTTTTTAAATAATTTATTTGATCTTTTAGAGTTTATAATTTTTAAATATATTACTTTAAATGTATTCGGTTAAAATGATTTATATGTAACTTGATAGATTAGAGTCAAAAATAAACTATAAAAGAATCAGTAGTTATTAATGTATTTTTAAAATAAAAACAAAGGAAGTAAACCGATGAATTTTAATCAAACACTTTTTAAAAAATAATAATGCGATGAATAGAAAAAGTTTAAGTTTCTCCATACATTTAAAGTACTGTACGAAATTTTCATTTATTTATTTATTTAGTATTGATATGTTATACATAATTAGCTTGTATCGTAAATTGATCATATATATTCTATTTAATAGATTTAATTATGGATAATCTATCAAAAAATTTATTTGATTACAGTTTTTAATTGAATTAATCGATAAACCAATAGAAAAAAAATTGCTATTAAAGATTAGGATAACTCGTATTATATAAATTTATTAATGGATTCTTTAGAAAAAAAAATATTTTTGAAATATTTAAAATAACAAACTGGAGAAACAAAATCTTTAATAACAGTAATTACATGCTTTTGTAAAATGTTGGAAATTTTAATTACCCGAGCTCAATGAAGTTATGATAAGAGAAACATACAAGTTCTGTTAGTTCTAGTTGTTTCCGTTTAAGAGAAATTCTTGATCAAACAAACAAAGTTTCTAATATATACAAAACAGTTTTGAATTGTCTAAAAATTTCATTTTTAACACAAAATTATATAAAAAGCAATTATGACAGGATTTTTCCTTCATAAAACAGTTTATATCTTGAATATTGTCATTGGCGATTTGTTATGTCCTCTTTATTAAATATTAAATCCATACCGTAAACTGTAATTGGTTATTTGTGACAAGTGGAAATTGAATATTATCATTTTATTAAATTTATTATAAATCTCTTTTAAGGAAAAATTAATTCCTACAATTTTCTCTCTCCTTTAATAAGAGTAATTCTCATTTATCATTGTTTTCAATATAGTGCTTCCACGTAAACTTTATCATATATGAAAGAATGCTAAGCAGAATAGATATTAAGAAGAAATAAATTACATTTAGAAACAAATAATAAATAAATTTAAAAGAATTATTACACTTTTTTTTATCGAAGTTATTTTATACTTTTATTGAAATGTTCACATTTATTGTCAGATGTGACAGTTTTATTTACGGGATTGAACTGATA